CTCGAGTAATTACTTTTCGACGTCGAAATACTAGATTCGATCTTCTATATTTATTTTAATCCGCTTATTAATTAAGATTAAAAGATTTAAAATTATTAAGAGATCTTTCTTATTAATAGTATAGAAAATATATTCGTAGCGCTTAATACGTTTTTAATTATTTTATAGGCGATAGATTATCGAGTAGATACTATAGTAATAAGTTAATTTTTTATTTATCTATATAGATTTTAATAAGAGATTATTAATCTTAATTAGATTCTACTTAACCGTAAAACGCTAGCTTATTATATTTATCTCGACGCTATTATTAAAATAGATTTCGACGAGAGTCTATAACTCGCCTTAATTATTTAAAAGTATTTTGCCTTCGTAGATTAACGATAGAATAGATATTATTTCTATTTTTACCCTTATCGTTGCGGAGTCTTCGATAAGAGTTTCTCTTTTCCCGCCGAGTCGATTGTGTAAAGCTTATACTTATCGATCGAACCGATCGATATATCATTAAGGTTTTCCGTTTTCTGTTTTTTCGATTAGAATTATTAGACTCGAAGAGTCTTAGAGTTATATAGTAATGTGAAATTAGAAAAATAGATATATTCGTATATTAATCTGGTAGTAAAACTAATTCTTAAGGAAATAAAGGAGACTCGAGAGGGATCGCTTATTTAAGCTTATTCGCTAAGACTCCGCCAAGTATACGTTAGACGTACGTGAGCTAAGCAATTTAAGGTTCTCTTACTTAGAACCCTTAAGCCCCTTTTCTAACAATCTCGATATTAGAAATAAAAAATTACTTTTTATAAATTTAATTCATAGATTTAAACTTATAAATAATAATAAAATAATTTTTTAAAGTTATAGAGTTAATTATACGTTTTTAAATAATATAGCGTAGATAAAATTTAATTAAATATTCGTAAAGATATTAAGTTTACGAGAAAAGTCTCTTTAATAAAAGCTCTCGAAAAGTTCTCGAAAAGTCTTCGAAGAGTTTTTAGAGAATTAAAGAGAGTTTAGAAAATCTCTCTCTAAGTATATTAGTATATATAAAAGAATAAGATAGAGCTAAGCTTAAAAATCTTAAATTTATATATATAGTTAATTATTAATTCGAGTTCGCTACGCTCTTTAATTAAATCGACTAACTTATCGCGAGTAAATAAATTAACGTTCGTAATTATTAAAATCTCGCCCTTCTACGTCTCTCTTATTAAAAAAATAGATATATATTATTAATATATAGAATTACTTTTTTATTTTATATTAAAATTTTGATTTTTTTTTAAATTTTAAAGCGCTATAATCTATTTATGCTTTTCGAATTTTTATAAATTTCGAAATTTAGTCTTATAATTAGTAAAGCGCAAGGAATTTAAATATCGCTTATCAAAGTTCGCTTATTAAAGATCGCTTATCTACTTACTCGATAGCTCTAATTAAAAAAAAATTATAAATTTAATTTATAGACCTTTACTCGTTTATTATAATATCTTTCTTAATTCTTAATTTTTTTTTTTAAAAGTTCTTAATTTCTTTAAAAAAGATTAAAAATTTATGAGTTTATATTAAAGAAGCTCTTTAAGTAAATTCTAAAGAAGTTTAATTTTATTAAAATTATTAAATCTTAAGATTAATTTAATAGTCTCTTCGATATAGATTTTTAAAGAGTTTTTAAAAAGCTTTTAAAGAGTTTAAGAGGTTTTAAGAGATCTTTCTAAGAATTAAATGTAGTTAAAAAGTCAATACTCGGCAAGCTTTTCACTACTGAAAAGCTCGCGCTTTAGCACATATTTTAGTTTCTAGAATAACTAAAGAAAAACGTTTATCTCTTATAATCGTAAGGCGACTAATAATAGCATCTCGACGATCGAACGAATATCTTTATATCATATATTAAATAACCTATAAAAAGACCTTAACTAAGTACTATATAAGAGTTCTACTATCTTATTATTCTTAGTCTTCTTCTAGAAGTTATAATATAACTCGAAGTTAACTCTATTAAAGTATTTAAAGTAATATAAAATTATCGCTAGTAAAGAAGTTATTACTATCTACTCGATATTATACTTTTATTCTTTCGATTCATATATTATAAACTCTCTTCTCGCTCTTTTCAATCCTTTATAAATTCTTACTTCTCTAAAGTATACGATTTATTAGAAAGATTTAGCAGTTTTTTTAAAAGAAATAATTTAAAACGAGAATAGTTCTATTCTTCTACCGCTAACCCGATTAGGTAATATTATAGACTTCGACGAAATCTTTATCGAAGAAGTATAAATCTCTTTAAATTTCACTTATTCTTCTTCTTTTATTATATATATATATTATAAACTTCTTTAATAAGAAAACTCTCGTTATAACGATCTTTATAATTATATTACTAGACTATCGAGCTATAATCGCTACTATACTACGTTATAGATACGTTCTCTCAGTAAAGTATATAATAATTACTTATAAAAAATAGAGAAATATCATATTCTCGTAGTAAGAAGTATCGAAATATCGAAAAGAATTAAAGATATCAGATTAGATATCTTACGAGTTCTTCTATCGTAGTAAAAGCTTTCGAATAATAAAATAACTATCGAAAGAAGATATCGTATTAGAATATTAGATATGTAATTTATAGAACGAACGAATTAATTCTTTAAAATCTCTTCGAGACTAGATTCTAAATATAGTATAAAATTAGATAGCTGAAAAATATAATAACTGAGATACGCGGTAACTATATTTCGATATATCGAACGATTTTAATTCGTTTAAATGTATATTATTTAATAGATAACTCTTATTTATAGAGATCTAATTAGCTATAATCGACGTAGTAGATTCTTCTCTTATATACTTATTATAGTAATATACTATAATATAATATTATCTAGATACGCGAAGATAGTAGATTAAATTATAGTATCGTTCTTCGCTTACTATATAGTAATTTAACGTAGAATTATAGAGAGTATATAATGTAAGATCTTAAAGAGCTAAGCGATATTCTTAACGATAATAGTCTTATTACCGCTTAGTTTCTCCATAATATTCTTCTTATTTATCTATTATAATATTTTCTTCTCTTATTTAACTAAGTACTTTAGCTAAGTAATTAACTAAGTAACTAACTAAGTAGCTAATTAAATAAATTAATATAAGATCGTAAAGAGTAGATCTATTATATTACTACTACTACTAACTATCTTCGTAATATTCTTCGCATTTATCTACTATAGTAGTTTCTTCTCTTATTAAGTATCGAGCTAGTATATAATTATAAAGAGTAGATCTATTATATTACTACTACTATTAACTATCTTCGTAATATTCTTTATATTATATTACTTCTTCTCTTATTAAAAAGCTTACTTTCTTATTACTTAAGACTGAAATTATAAAATATTCGATAATTATAAATTTAAAGTTAATTAATTAAATCTTTAGATTTTATAATTTTAAAGCTAAAACTTATCTTATTTCTTTATTTCTAAGTTAAAAGCGAGTATATATAAATATATTTAAAAAAGAAAGCTAGAAAAAAACTTTAAAATCCTTAAATCTATCTTTTTAATTTCTTTTTTTTTATTAAAAATATAATAATAAATTAAGTATATAGAGTTATAGAGTTAATTATACGCTTTTAAATAATATAATATAGATAAAATTTAATAAAGTATTTATAAAGATATATTAAAAACTAAGATTTTTATTTAAATTATCGAGCTTACGAGAAGAGCCTCTTCGATAAAAGCTCTTAAAAAATTCTTAAAAAGCTTTTAAAGAATTAGAGGAGTTTTAAAGAGTCTTTCTCTAAGTATATTAAATAAAATATAATATCTCTCTCTAATATCCCTCTCTAATATCTCTCTAATATCTCTTTTAATTCTTAAAATTAAATTCTTTAAAATCTTTTAAATACTTCGAAGCTCTTTAAAGGCTCTTCGAGAGCTTCTATCGAGAAGCTATTAAAGTAAACTTAAAATTAATTAAATATTATTAAAATAATTAAATTTTAAGCTTACTTTAATAGCCTCTCGATAAAAGCTCTTAAAGAGTCTTTAAAGAGTTCTCGAAGGGTTCGAGAGGTTTTAGAAGATCTCTCTAAGAATTAAAAATAGTTAAAAACTAGTACTCGATAAGCTTTTCACTACTAGAAAGCTCGCGCCCTAGTATATATTAGAATATTAAACTAAGTGACTAAGTAAGTAGCTAACTAAGTGATTAATAGAGTAACTAATTAAGTAACTAACTAAGTAGCTAACTAAGTAAAGTAGTAAGCTAATAGGATAGATAGTGCTAACTAAGTAATTAGCTGAATGGCTCGTAGTTATTATATACTATAAGAATAAGAGATATATATAATAACATCTAGATAGATGGATAGATTATTTCTTTATTTTTACTATATTTAAATAAGTAGTTACGCTAACGTCGTATAGAATAACTTTATAATTAAATTACTATTTCATATATAAAATAGTAATTTAATTTATAGGTGATCGACGAGGCTAATAACTACTCTATATGGTTAGCCTATTGAATTATTACCCTTTTCGTTTTGAATCATTCTTTTAAATCACATTGCTAAACCTCCCTATTGACCCTGCGTGTCAAATCAAAACAGCAGGTCCCCGGCACACAACTATAACGTTCAGACTTCATCTGCGGCCACTTTTTGCTCAAATCTACTTGGCATCCTAATTATAATATGTCTCACAAGATTCCCGAGGCTTGTATTGAGCCAAGTTTCACGAACACCTACGTAAATTGGACGGCCGGGAGGAAAATATGAAAAGACAAAAACAGCGGTCGCAGAAGGAGCCCGGATAGTCCTCGCGAGATGCTAGACCATACTTGTCTTGAAGTATGTCATTTCCTAAATACGATCGACATAACAGACCATCTCAACTCTCTACAAGGCAGGTCGCGTATCCGCAGCATCATGTTCAACTCAGAACAGGCCCCACCTCCTCTTGGCTTTCCGATATCCATCAGCTGACCCCCACGCAGTATCCTTCCCCGGTCCAGAAATCCGAGCTGCAATTTGCGCCATTAGTCCCCAAAACAGGGTTCCATGTGTACAATTGCGTCGTCGTGATGTCTGTTTTGTTTTGTTAGCACTACCGGGCCTATATGAGTTTCACGTCGCCGTCACCGCGCCTTTAGCAACGGCGAGTCTTTATCAGAAAGGGGGCTTACCGTTGTTCTGGGCGAAGGAATAACACGTGTCTCCTTTCTGCGCTGCGACGATCTTATTACAGTTGCTTGCCAACCCGCTTTGGTTAGGTAACACTGAGGATGTAGTGGTGGAAGACGTGGGGACTGGCGCGCTTATTATCGTTGCGGACTTTGTAGACACGCCGACCTAGTTCAGATCGAGGTCAGTCCACAGAGCTCATCACAAGCTGGATATGACACTCACACAGTAATCGTATCCTGCTTGGAATTCCGTGGAGCAACTAGTGCCGTTTGATCCGAGGATACCATTCCAGCTATATAGCTCATCGGTGGTTATGTTGTTATTCTGCGCAAAAATGTAGCAGTAGTCGCCAGTCTTGGCCTCGGCATATTTGTCACAAGCAGGAGTTATATCGCTCTTGGTGGGATATGGAAGGCTCGAGATAGTCAAAGATGACTTAGTGCTGGTACTAGAAGAGCTGATTGAGTTCCCTGGTAAGCCGACACAGTAGTCGTAGCCAGCCCAGAATTGTGTGGTGCAATTGTGCCCATCGGGGTATCCGAGGACCGGATTCCAGGTCGTCAATTGTGCAAGCGTGATACGGAAGCTTTGTGACATGTCATAGCAGGTGCTATTGGTGTCGGCGTAAGCATATGCATTGCAATTTTTTGCAATGCCTAGTTGTGTCGGGGCACTCGTCGTGCTGTTGGGTGTGGGACCATCAGGACCATCAGGACCATTGGGATTGGTACCACTTCCTTGGCCTCCTCGTTGCTGTGCGCCGGCATTGCTATTAATACCACTAATTGGCGCCGGCAAAGTATATCCGCCTCCTAGTGGTCTGTCTCAAATGTTAGTGCGAGAGAAAGGGCTTGATAGGAGGCGATTGACTCCCTTACCCGCTGCAAATATATTGGTCTGTCGTCAAATTGTCGCAGAGTCCAATTATATTAGGGTTCCATTGGAGGAAGAGAGTAATCGTGACGTTGATGCTGCTGGTAGACAACGAGCTTGCAATGGAAGCACTATCCGAATCAGTATCACCAGTTGCGCAAAGTTTTGAATGATCTTGGCCCTCACCAGGACTGGTCATTGCCGACTTGTGCGACCTCGCACTTGAGTGGTACGCAAATTGATGATGCACTGAAAGAACAGTCGTCGTTACCAGTTATTGACTGGAGATCACCGGTAGTCACACCATAAGACTGTGAAAGGGAATCGCAAGACCCGGCAGAAGCACGTTTGACTCTTGCATAACCACTGTAGTCGTTCTCAAGTTCAAGAAGCTCAGAGTCGCGCTCGGCTACCTCCATGCCGTCACGTTTGCTGTTACTTCTTGAGATGGTCTGACCACCGCAAGTCCCACTAATTGAGGCTGTCAAGTTAGCGTTTGGATCCGTACCTGGGGTAAGGTAGGGTGGGCTCGGGGCAGCGGGATAGGAAGGAAGAGCGCGAATGAGCGATGGTGGCATCGTGACATTGCAAACATCAGTAATATCTTGGTATTGCTCAATAAGATAGTCGGATTCGTCAGTGTCCGGTAGAAATGGAGAGTTAATGCGCCACCACATGACACTTAGGAAGCAGTTGCTGCAAAGCTAGGACATCGTGAGCCATTACATAGCATTCACAGGTTGCAAGACTCACAACTGTATCGTTGTATAGATTTGCCTTGGGGGTAATAGTTAAGATGAGCTCGAGTAGCAATAGAGTGAGACTTGAAACTCACGATACGATTCGCCGCATCAGGATCAGTGCAGAGAGTTTGGCTAGAGTCCAAAGTGCAATCAGGTGCTGTAATATCAATGCCCACCCAGTTCTGAGCCTCCAAAAAGCAATAGTTGAATGTCGAGTTGTTGAGCTCAACGGTAGTACCGTTCCCAGGGATGGAATTGTCGTTTCCCGGAGCTGTTGATGTTCCATTCACTGAAATGGGCGATGCGGTTGTATTTGGATCCGATCCCGAAGTTTGGTTGTAAGACAACGTAAGACTGGACTTGGATCAGTCAAACTCGAGATCTGGAGACAGATTCATACACATCTGTAAGACAAGTGAGGCCAACGCCATCAGAGTAACGAATGGCCACAGATGCGACCGGCACCATCTTGCTGTCAATCGTGATAGTTTGACCGTCACAAGTGTTGTATATACCTTCCAGCCAATCACTGCTTGATTGAATACAAGACGGCGTACAGAGATCAGTGATGTTATCTTGCACCCAATAGTAAAGATCGACTTGGCCAGCCATGCGGAAGAGATCGGGTTCGCAAGTCACGGTAGTGTTCCTAGAAGAAGCTTTAGTCGTCTTTACCGATCTGACGATTAGATATGCCTACATTGCATTCAAACAATCCACCGAGAAATCCATAGCGGATGCCAGTCGGATAGAGTCTACCGACGGCCACATGTTGAATTGAGAGTAGGCAGGCAAGATCATAGCACCCCACGTGGCCAAAGCCAAGATGAGAGCTCCCATGCTATCTGGACTTCCAGGGATTGAGTTCGAAGACATTGTGCAAAACGAGAGCGAAGACTAGAAAACGAAGCAATAGCAAAGGAAAGTATATTTAAGGCTATGAGATCAAGGGGGAAGAGCATCTGGGCAATGAGTCATGATCCGTACTTGATACCGGCGGTGGGATAGGTTCACAGACAACGGCTTGCCCCCAATATTTGCTTGTAACATAGCCAGCCAAGAAGCTGAAGAGGAACACTCCATGCCGCACGAGAGAAGGATCCCTGCTGACGTTGATGAGAGACATATGATGGTGCAAAGGATGTAAAAGAGATTAAAATATCCCGCAGGATCAATGCTGGTAAGATATTAGTAAAGCTGGAAAGGAAAAAAGATACTCCGTGCGGCGGTGAAAAGAAATATCAGCAGACTGGTTTCAGGTTGTTTTTAAAGTACGATTACAAGGGATTGTCTCTAAGATTCTAGACTCTTTCTTGCTTACAGAATCGCCTTCGGAACGCAGTCTATTTGAACTGCAACATTTAATCTTCACCCTGCGCGCCTATTCGCAATCAGCCTCATGCATATCATAAAAGAAAAATAAAGGCTGGCAATAGGTGTACACCCCCTTTCGATACATGTACACCCCCCTGCCTACACAAACAACAACTTTATTGTTGACCCCCGGAGGGCTATTATATTTGAGATTCAGCGCACCGAAAAAGTGTAGCAGCGAGTATATACAGGATAAATCCTCTAAAGAAAGGGAGGATTCTGTTTACGAGTGACGTACTCTGTAGATAGTAAGATATAAGGCGTTGAAGACTGTCCGGGCGTTGAAAGGAAGCCGGGCTGACTATTAGATAAGACGTAGCCCCGGAAGCAGCACTCGGATATGAGGGGGGTGTACATGGAAAGCGGGTGTACACCTATTGCCAGCCAAAATAAATTCCATAAAAGTTGCTGATGCAGTGATGCCTGTTTCGCAACTCGGACCTATTAGAGCCTAAGGTAACAGGCTGCCTCAGTACGGCATTCAGGGTTAGGGCTCCTCGTATATACCCGGAAGTGCCCGATACCTGGTAATGCCCGATCTAAAATCCGATAAGTCCGGCGCAACACCAAAATATGACATTGTTTTTGATTTTACTACATATCTATACAAATAAGATATTATATTTTTATCGAGACTTTATAATATTGTAAAATATTATAAAAAATAGTTTAAAAAATAGTTTACTTATTTATAACTATTTACTAGCTTCGCTAATAAATAAATAAATTTAATTTTACTTATTATTTAAAAATTATAAAAATAGATATTTATAAATTATTTTATTTAAACTTCTATATAATAAAATATTAGCTTCTTTAAATTATTTATAATCTAATATATAAATTTTATTTATATTTATTATATCTTAACGCGACTATTATTAATAATATATTTTTAAATAAACTTTTATTTTAATATCTTAAGAAAAGAATTTAAGATAATAAGTAAGTAAGTAAGTAAGTAAGTAAGTAAGTAAGTAAGTAAGTAAGTAAGTAAGTAAGTAAGTAAGTAAGTAAGTAAGTAAGAATATAGATAAGTAAGTAACTATATACACGAGTATAGAAATTTTAATTTAAAGAAATTTAGTAAAGAAATAAAAGAATAATAATTAAATATATATTTTATTAAAATATAGTTACGCTGCGTAACGGGGCGAGGAACCTCGACGGAGTTTCGAAGGGGATCGGGTCGAGGTTTCGAGGAAGCTCGAAACCTCGACCCCGCCTCGACCCGAAGTCGAGGTTTTAATATATACTTTATTAACTCGATAGACCCTAAATACCTTTAAGTAATTTCTCTAAATTTTAATATTATATAATAGAAATAGAATAAAATAGAGTATAAAATATAATATTATAATCTAAATTAGAGTATAAAATATAAATATTTAGAAAGATACTTAAAATATATATAAGATTATATTTATAAGATATTAGAGAAATATTATAGAGATATTATAAGAATAATAGTTTTAAGTTAATCTAATTAATAGACTTAACGAAATAGCGAGATATTCTTATTATCTCGATAGAAAAATATTATCTCGATTTAATCTTACCTCGTTAAAATCTTATTTCGAAGCGAGGTAATATTAAATATCTAAAATCTCATTTTATCTTACTTCGTTACGTAGCGTAAATATAGTTATTTAATATTTAATATTTAAATAGAAAAGAGCTTTTATAATAATATAATATAATTAACTTAAATATTTTAAAGTTAAATTAAATCGTAAGTATTAAATCTTAAAATAGTATTTTATAATATTTTAATAATTTTCTTTATAGTATATTAAATAGTCGATAGCGATTAAAATTATTAATAATAATAATAAGATCTATAAATATTATAATATAACTTCGAAAAATCTTTATAAATATATTAATAAGAGAAATATACTTAATAGTTTTAAATTTAAAGATTTTAAAAGAAAGTAATTAAAAAGATATAATAGAAGAAGAGATAGAAAAAGAAGAGATAGTAGAAGAAGAGATATTAACGATTTTTTTATAAATTAATAACTCGATAAAGTTAAAAAAAAGATAAATTGAATTTTTAGATATATTAATATTAATAGTAATAAAAGTTTAATATTATTATTTATTTATTATTATATCGAGTTATTATAGAATTTTAGTAAAAGGTAGACATTTTGATGCTACGCCGGACTTATCGGATTTTAGATCGGGCATTACCAGGTATCGGGCACTTCCGGGTATATACGAGTACATCCTACAGCATGCTGATCCCCTCGAGCTTAAATCTTTTTTCACCTCCCCACCACCCGCAGCCCTAGACTATTCTGGCAGTCGGATGCCCTTTCTGCAGTACTGTTTCAGAGGAGCAAAGCACGGCTGTACCCTCAGCTGAGATTCCTGCAGGATGACCTACAGGCACATACAGGTACTGGGGGGATGCGGAAATTTTCATGTAACTATCCTCCAGTTCACCAACGTCGGCCACCTGCAGTTCAGGCAATTCCTTTACTGCATCCTCGAGCGATTCCGGTACATCTGATCTGTCCAGGATATCCCATCAGCCCGCCGTGAGGCGCAGAACTCACCGAAACTACTCGCTTACTTACTTATGTACCCACGTCCGCACGCTGTCAGCGTCTGGTTGCATAGCATCTTTCTCTTGCTCTTAAAGCTTTTGGGCTTCTATTCTCCTCCATCTTCTGGTTTTGAGGTTTCTGGTCTCGAGCAAGACTTATCTGTCGTCCCATTCGTCTATCTTTAGTCGCGATATATTTTTTCTCTCTCGTTTTCAAAAAAAATGACAATGTCGCGCTTGTGGCACGTTGTGGTCTTATCTTGGGCTTTGGGATCCCTTGCATTACCGCAATATGATCCCAACCGTTCTTTTGTGAATCAATTGAAGCTAAGAGCCCTACCTGTGGGAACTTGTAACCCAGATACTCCTTGTGAGAATGGGGCGTGTTGTGGTTCAAACGGTCTGTGTGGCTATTCTCCAACGGAGTGTGGTACTGGATGCAGGTCGAATTGCAACGCAAAAGCTGAATGTGGACAATATGGGACTCCTGGCCAGCAACACTGTCCTCTGAACGTGTGCTGTTCGCAATTTGGGTCAATTTCCCTTCCAACATAAACTCTCTGTGGCTAATTGCTTTGCCTGCAGCTTCTGCGGAAGTACCTCTGACTTTTGTGACACCGGCTGTCAAAAGGATTTTGGTGGATGCGGTCCTCCCCCTCAACCGTCTTGCGGCGGCTCCAAAGTGGGTCAGCGCACAATTGGGTGAGTTTGGACGAAGATAGAAAAGAATAGGTAGCTGACCAAGCTCTGAAGCTACTACGAGTCTTGGGCTGCCACTCGGACATGCCAATCGGTACGAGCTATGTTTTGGAATCGCTTCCCACGCTGCTTACATGACTCTAGGTCACCCCTGAGGAGCTCAATCTCTCTGGGTTCACTCACATCAATTTCGCCTTTGCTTTTTTCGATCCCAGCAGCTTCCAAATTGCGCCCATGGACTCAAATTCTGCGTCCCTATTAGGCCGTTTCACCGCCCTGAAAGAGAAATACAACGGACTTGAGACTTGGATTTCCATCGGTGGGTGGTCTTTCACAGATCCTGGCCCAACTCAGGAGGCGTTCAGCGTCATGTCTTCAACCTCCGCAAATAGGCAGACATTCATCAACGGTCTTCTTAAGTTCATGAACCAGTACGGTTTTGACGGTAGGAAACCCAGTAATCTTCTATGCTCGTCCACTCACTTTCATAGGCGTGGATCTCGATTGGGAGTATCCCCAAGCAGATGATCGTGGTGGTCAGCCAGCCGATACCGAGAATTATGTTGCACTCGCCAAGGAGCTCAAAGCTGCTTTGGGCCAGAAGGGACTGTCCATGACGCTTCCAACTAGCTTTTGGTATCTCCAGCACTTCGACGTAAATTCGCTCCAGGAGTCTGTTGATTGGTTCAATTTCATGTCATATGTGAGTTAATTCACACCGAAAATGCACACTTCGATGCTAAATGGCCATAGGATCTTCATGGAGTATGGGACGCCCAGTCGCAGTTTGTTGGCCCGTACATCGCCCCTCACACCAATCTTACCGAGATTGACCTGGGATTGGACCTTCTCTGGCGGGCTGGTGTTCAGGCAGACAAAGTTACTCTTGGAATGGCGTGGGTACGTGACAACAAAATAAAACGCTATGCTGACGTCAGGTTGATAGCTGACCGATCCTTAGTACGGCCGATCCTTCACATTATCAGATCCATCATGTAATACTCCCAACGACGTCTGCCAGTTCTCTGGAGGCGCAAATCCTGGGCCTTGCTCGGGCACCTCTGGGATACTCGACGACCAAGAGATCCAGAATATCATTACGCAGAACAGCCTGACACCGACATGGGATCATACAGCTGGGGTGAAGTGGATCACTTGGGATAGTAACCAGTGGATTTCATACGATGACACAGATACTTTTCAGCAGAAGAAGGTGAGCCAGAAACTTCTCGAAAACCCTCGCGGGGCTGTGTAAAGTCACTGATGCCAATTGCCAATAGAACTTCGCTAGTCAACGCTGTCTAGGTGGCCTCATGGTATGGGCTATGGATCAGAAGGATCAGACCCAGTCCAATGGGCTTGGTTCTACTCCCAACGTCACCCCAGATCAGCAGGCAAACGCACAGCAGATGTCCAGTGATCAAGCCGCATCTTTAAGCTGCTACACCACAGATTGCAATGCCAAGTGTAAATCAGGAACAAATAAGGTCGCTGAAGTCTTTGGTCAGCCTGGACAAATTTCCACGAGGTATAGCGTCCTGACTCATGGGTTGTAGAAACAAAAGTCTAATGTCCGTAACCAGGGACCGATGCTCGAAAAACCAGTACCGGAGTGTTTGCTGCAATGACGGCACAACCATGGGCAAGTGTCAGTGGCGAGGATACCGCGGTGTCGGCATGTCGTGTATTCAGGGTTGCGCTGATGGTAGGGTCGAGACAGAGTTGACTTGGGAGGAGTAAACTACTAAAGTTAAAGTAGGTGAAACTGAAGTTGTGACTGACACAAGCGTACAAAACGGGAAGAAAGTAAGCAGCACAGAGGGTTATGATCGTAGTCGGAGGTATTGCGAAGGTTGTGTTGACTATTTCCATCTAGGGCCAAACCTGCAATGGTGGTCTCCAGTCCTACTGCTGCGCCGGCTTCTCACCGCCACCTTCTAAGAGTCAGCTTGAAAAAGATGCGGCAGATGCTGCCAAAGATGCTGCAGAAGCCGCCGCTCAACAGGCGGCTCTAGACTTGGCGGCGAAGGCTTTCTGCCGTGTGGCCGTCCCGGCCCTTCTCGCACCACTGGAACTTGCGGAAGACCTGATCCCCATTTTCGGTAAGTTTTTATCACTGAGTCGTACATTACACAATCTCTAGCCATACTGAAGATACTAGGGGAGATCCTCGATCTTGCCGAGCTCGCAGCGACGCCCGCGCTTATCGAAGGGTGTGTCAAAGGCATCGAGAAGGAGGGAAAAGCCGAATTCAAGGTTTTCGGCAAGGAGCACAGTCTCTCACCGGGTGAGATCTGTCAGTTCTTCGGGAATGCAAATCCTGATCATAGCTGTGAATATTCAGATGAGCCCAGCAAGCTTCCAGAGACACGTCCGCCCACCTCAAGCCACGATCCTGAACCAACAAGTTCAGCATGTAATAAGCGCGCGCCGAACTGCAAGCGAGCGATATCAAGCACGGAAGCCAAGCAACCCATCAACACTGAGCGTATGTTATTCTGCTGAGTAGGCGAAATTGTCTCTGACTCGAACGTGAATCCAGATCCAGGTGTGCAAAGAGTTTGCGACGGAGCACGATGGCCACAGGCTTGCCAGCATTACTCATCTGTAATTGATTTTAACCAAATTCTCGTTGACGCAGGTGAGCGTGGATACAACCCTCTTACTTGTCCGACATTCTCTGGATTCAACTATCGTCAAGGAGGAAGAGGCGAGCAGATTACGGTTGATTGGACTGATCAACACAATAATGACTGGTAAGTGTCTATTGCTTCATTGAGCTGATACTAGTCATCGCGATTCCTTGATGGTTTGATACCTATGCACTCCCATCTTGCGTTCTTGCATGCCTATCAAAAGATCTCCTTCTTTGTTAACTCATAATCAGGTGGAATGGCTACATGCAAGAACCAAACTTGAACTGCGAGAGAGATGAATATCCTCCCATAGGCTTCTGGCAAGATCAAGATCTCCACGACCAGTATGTAAGGATGGTACCGGGAACCCAGAACCAGGCTGCAGGTGCGGCATTATTTGGATTGGGGCTCTGCCGCTACAGCGGAGACGGTAAACCACCTGCGTCAACCAGAAATGTTCGATTCGACCGAATGATCCACGGTCCTGACCGAGACACGTCCGTCTATACTGCGGACGTGACTACTACTCTTGCTACAGTATCAATTCGATTTGATGCGTATCCGCACCAGCCGGACTTCGGCATCACGGCGAATCCATGCTGGCCTTCAACGCTCGTCGATGATCCAGGATTCGCTTTACTGAATAGTGACCCTTGGTACGCCGCCCTGAGTAACCGCCAGCGACACCAGTCAGTCGATCAATACTCGAATCCGCCTCCCCTCGCCGTTATCCAGAACAAGCCTCCCCGAGCAGGATATCAGAAGCGGTTCATTGATCCTCTGGACATGGACTTGAGCTTTGACGAAAGAGACACTAAATATGAGCTAACGGAGTCCCTGGCCGAGCTGGGCATACGCAAGTGTCGCAGTACGAATTGCGTCGACGAGCTGAAGGAAATGAAGGGTTCGTCAGTATACGGTGCCCCGCCGAAAGGTCCCTTAATGCCAAGGGCGAGTGAAGCGGAGCCGACGGCGGTGGATACTGGTTTGCCACCTGCGGCGACACCGATGGCACCGAAAGTTGGCGGCGGCGGTGCGCAACTAGCTCTTGATTTAATTCCGAGGCCTACGGTAGGGATTGATTGATCTATATTGTTTTCACGTGCAGGAAAATTTGTATCCAGTCATTCAGCTACTCTGGTTAAGTAGAGAGTAGCACCAGTGCTTTCAAGACCGTCATGACCAGAAATAGCTCCGATTTCGAATACAATGCAGCTTCTCTTGATGCTTTTCGATCATCTTCTGGCGTGTCGCCGTGTTATCATGGTCTGACAACTTCTAACGCAACCGGTTTATTGGACCTTCTTCGCGTTCACAGAAATCGGCGAGCATAACTTTGCAGTTCTCCCGGTCAAAATTCGAAGGCCAACCATTCCGTGTGTAAATTTCGTAGACTTCCTAGATCCCGAAACCCACGTTAGCTCATTTGTGCTCATCCTCATTTGCGATATTGCCACGTTTCGTCACTAAGCGAGGGGCTCACTTTGGTCTTCCGCTCTCTGATCATGATGTGAAGCAGGCGTTGATCTGCGGGCTCTGCAAGCTCTGGAGGCGGAAGATCCACCGGCTTGTACTCAGCAGTGTTCTTCTCGGACTGCAGGTCTATCCGCCTCTGGGGAGCTTCTTCGCCGTAGGCATCCTCCATTAACTCGTCCAACTCCTCATCTGGGATCAGTCCGTCCTCATCATCCATGTCATCTTCACCGTCCGGTTCGCTTCCACCCTCCTCGTCGTCTCCTTGCTCATCTGCATCTGGCTCGAAGTCATCATCTGATGCCAGCCTATCTTCTTCTTCTTCCTGAAGCGTCGCAGAGGAAATACACCATTGCGCAGTACCTGCCGACCCCCGGGGATTGTAGAAGGCCATCCAGACCAGCTTCTCGAAATTTTGCTTCCAGAGGCGGAAGAAAGCGGCCGCGGGCATGGTCGGGTGCGCCATCCACTTGTCCTGCGTGGGAATATTCTCATATTCTTCGTAATCAATCATAATATGATGTCCCAAACTCGTCCATTCGGTGATAGTATCTATGTAGATTATCAACTAGCCGATCTAGTGCTAGGCAATTACTGGGATCCGTGAACAGGCAACTTGTTGCAAGCGACATGTACGCACCTGTATGAGTATCGAACAGAAGACTGGTACCGTCCCGGGATTCGTAATCCGTGAGCCAAATACAATGGCCCGGAACCGGCTGAAGAGAATCATTGATTTCATCGTAAACCTCGCCGTCGCAATAGGCGATCATGATAGTGTCGGGCCCAATCATCCATCTCTTCCCAGGCGCGGGGGCGCGCAGATAAGGTAAATACCGAAGTAGTTCAATCACTTCTTCTGTCTTCCCTCTATCTCGTAGCTTCTGCGCGTTCACGCCTGACCAGCCTTCCGAAGGTGGCAAGACGAGAGCGTTTGGCTCTATGTAGGGTAGCTTGATCAACAATTCGTAGAAGTCTTGGATGGCAGCAATGACTTCTCCGCGAGAGTAAGAGCTCTCCGCGGACGCTGGGTGGCTACGCACTGGAAGAGACGTCGACATCGCGCGGCAGTCTTTGAGTTGCGAATGAGCTAAGTCTAAGGAAGCAAGAGAAGAATTTTGAGGATCGGGGATTTTTGTTTTAGTTTGGACGATTATACCAGTCAACATACAGTAGCAAGCCGTATATTAAGGTCGGCAGAGGGTTTTTCGTAATGATCTATATAGGCTAGTTATGTAATAAGAATATTATAAGTATTATCTATAAATAAAGATTTATTATAAGATTTAACGTATCTACTCTAAAATCCTTTTAAAGAATCTTCTTATTTTAATTATTTTATAATTTTATAATATTATAACTTAAGACTTCTTTCGAGAGTCTTTTAAGAAAATATATCTTCTATAATTATTTTCGTAAATATAAATATTAAGTCTCGTTTTCGAAATCTAATTATTATAAATTATATCTATACTTTTTAACTTCTTAACTTTAAATTTAAGCGATTTAGCTAAAGTTCTTATAGAGATAATTTTCTCGAGATCTTATTAGTATATATAAAAGAATAAGATAGATATAAAGATATAGTTTACTAGCGATTAGCTAGCGAATATAGACTATAAAAGATATAGAGTCGTTATAAAATTTAATAGTATATTTAATAATAGAACTAATCTTTAAAAAATATTAAAACTTTAAAATATATAAAGTAGATCTATATCCGCTAAGTCTCTAGATATATAAAATATATTATTAAAATTAAATTCTAAAAGAAACTCTAATATAATATATATAATATCGAAGTTTTAATATAAATAGCGTTAAGGCTTATAATAGTATTAGATCTAATAATTATCTCTTTTTTTAGATCTTAATTTCTAAATATCTAAGTAGATAAAATGTTTATTAAAAAACCTTTAAATCTTAATAGAAAAATAAGAGAAAAGAATTAATCTATTATAATATCGTTTTAATAATATAATAGAATTAATTATTACGTATTATAAACGCGCTATTAATATATTATATAATAATATTAATACTACTCTTAAGAATAATATCGTTTTATAATATTAATTAATAATAATCTATAATAAATTAATATACTTAATATTAATATTTTTATAGCGTTAATTAATAGCTCTTATAGCGAATAGATATTTAATTTAGAAATTTATAATAGAATCTTAAAATCTTAATAGATAAAAGAAGATAGAAGAGTTTTTCTATAAGTAATATTATTTCTATAGCGTAATATATTAATAGCGAAATAACGTAATAATAATCTCTATTATAGATATTTAAAGAAAATAAATAATAGAGTAACGCGTTCGCGATAATATTTTTAATTATTAATTAATAATAATAATAGAATAATAATAATAGTTAGATAACGCGACTCTATAGATAGTAGCGAAATATTACTATATCGCTAATATTTATATTATTAAATATTACTTATTAATATTAACGCTATAATAGAGAATATAAAAACTCTCTTTAAATTATTTATTTTTATTCTTTATAACTTCTAATATCTCTCTTATAAGTACTTACTTTAGCGCTATAATATTAATATTAATATTAATATAAATATAGTATATCTCGTTATATTAATAATCTATCTTTCTTTATTATAAATATCTTATTATTATTAATTATATTAATATATAAACTAATAATTTTATAATACTCTTTTTTAATAATAATAATAACTTTAATAATAAGTATATAGTTACTTTATAAACGCGATTATTAATCTCTAACTATTTCTATTATTATTACTTTATATATATAATTATTAATAAATTCTAATATCTAATTTATTATATAGAACTTACTTTTATTAAGATAATAATTTATATATTTAAAATAAGTCTTCTTTTTATAATAATTATAAGATTAAAAGATATAATATTAGTCGTTATATTAAATTTTTTCTATATCTTTAAACGTAGATAAGAAAATCGATATAGTACTATCGTCGCGTTAAATAATTTTAATAAATAATTTTATTAATAAATTAAGCTCGATAAGAGAATTACTTAATAATATAAATTATAGAAATATATAATAGTAATAGCTTTAGTCGCTTTTATTATAATTATAAATTTTTAAGATTAATTTATAATAGTAAATAAGTATATAGCGAAGTTAAAGAAAATAAATAAGTTATTAGAGAAGAAGTTTAAGAGTCTTTATTAATATATAGTAGATATTAATAAATATTAACTCGACGATTATACTTTAATTATCTTCTTATTAAAATAATAAATTAATAAATTTAATTTAGAATTTAATAATAAGATAGTAGAGAATACTTAAGTAACGATTTTTTTTAATAATAATACTAGCGTAAAGTTTTTAGATAGTTCTTTAATAGCTATTTTAGATAAAAATATATCTATATTAATAGTATATATTTTAATATAATATATTTTTTTTATAATAGAATTTAGTAAATAGCTAAATAATATAATTATTTAATTAATTTATATCTTAATAGTAATAAGTATAAAGAAATATATATATAATATAAGTATTATTTAGAAATATATCTAATTTAATTAATATTTATATCTTATCTATAAATTTAAAAAGTGAATTTTCGTACGATTTTCGTCGAGTTCGTACTATAAGTATAATTTAGTCTATTAAGTAGACTTTATCTATATTTAACTCTTTTCGTTAATTCTATTAGTTTAGCAACTTTAAAAATTTTTAGTAACTTTAAAAATTTTACGTAATATACTCTAATATACTCTAAGTACTATTCTATATATATATGATATTAATATATATTATTATTAATATATATATTATTATACGCTATATTAGAGTATTACTTACGTAATTAATTTTATTAAATTATTTAATTTCGTAGTTAAATTTAAGTTAACGTTAATATTTATTATTATAAAATCTTATCGTTATAACGTCGATTATTAGAATTTTTCTTTTTTTATATATATTACTGCTAAACTAATAGAACTAACAAAAAAGATTAAAATAGTTACTGAATCGGCGGAATTTGGGCAGATTCTAATCAGATTTGCTAATCTAACGGATTTTATGATTTTCGCGATAAACGCGCGATCAGCAATTTCAAATTTTGTAGAAACTTTTCAGATTTGCAGATGCTTATTTTATCGCGTTTACTTATTTATTATTAACTTATATAATTAAATAAACTCTTTAATAATAAGAGACTTATTATTATCTATTACTTAATATTTATACTTATTATTTATTTATTTATAGATTTAAATTAGCTCGCTAGTATTAATAAGTTTTTTATTTAATAGTTATTAATTATACTCTTTATTTTAATTAATCTATTTAACTTTATATGAGATATCTTTTTTATACTTAATTTTATTAATAATTTCTTTAATCTTCTAAAGCTTATTATTATTAATAAGCTTAAAAGTTTATATAAAGATATTCGCTATATTATTATAATCGCGATTATAATAAGACTTAAATAATAATATATAAAAGATATTATAAATCTTATATATCGAGAATAAAAGTAAATAATATATTTACGTAAAAAATTACTTTTTAATATAAGAGAATAGATAGATTAATATTAGATAATAATAATTATATATATAATTTTAATAGTTATTTTTCTTATTATATATAGCGCTTTAACGCTTTAGAATAAGCTTATAAGCTTTTTAATTATAATTTTAATTATCTATTTAAATTATCTATTATTATTACTTTCTTAATTTACTTCGCTTCTTAATTTCTCTTAATAATTATATCTTTAACTTTATCTTAAATATTAATTTATATAATTTCTTTACTCGCTTAAAGTCCTTAATTATATTTTTAATATTTTTAAAATACTTTATTAATTTCTATAAAACTTCGTAAAATAGAAAGTTTTTTTAATTAATAAAATATTTAATCTCGTCTTTATAAACTCTTTTATCTAATATCTTATTAATCTCTTACTCTTTTTTTTATTAATTAAAGTTACTTATAATTTTAAATTATTATTATATAAGTATTATAACTTTAATAATAATATATAAAATATAAAATAAAATTTTTTATATCTAGTAGAGAGATCTAGCTTATAAATCTATATATTTATTTTCTTTAATATTATAAAAGATTTAAATTATTTATAATTAAGTTTCTTCTTTAATTATAAAATATATATATTTAAACTTTATAATAATACTTTATCTTCTTTTTTAAAAATTATAATTTTATAATTACTATTATAATATTTTACTTACTACTTTAATATTTACTCTTATAATTCTTTTAGATATAATCTTATCTCTTATAATTAATCTACTCGCTTTATAATAAATAATATTTTCTCTTTTAAGATCTTATTTTTAGAAATATTTTCTAAATCTACTATATATTATATTAATAACTCTTATAAGATCTTATTAATATTTATATATATACTATTATTATATATAAATATAATTATTAATAAGATTTTAAATTAATTATTTTACTTATAATTATAATATAATTATAAATAATATTTAAGAATTTAATTTTACTTTTTAATCTAATAATTAATTTAAAGATAAAATATAGTATTAAGTTTACGCTTTATACTTAAATATTAATATAATATTATTTAAAATTATAACGAGATTTAAATATATATAATTTAGTAATAATATTTTAATTATTACTATATAAGATAGATTAAATTCTAGAGAACTTAGTAGAAATATCTCTTAGATAACACGTTAGTAAGAGAGATTAAACTTCTATTATTAACACCTTTACTATACGTCTAATACTATCGTATAATTATATTAGAGAGATAATTCTCTTAAATCTAGTATAGCTCTAAACTATATCCGATTTAGACCTTTTAAGCTCTTACGACCCTTATAGTTATTCTCTCTTTTTTTTAAATTAAGCTTTTATAAGATATTATATTTAAGAATTAAGAACTATATAGATATTATATAATAGCGATATTATTAATTAGACGCTTAAAGTCTTAATATTAAACTTTTATTCTTTTATTATATATAGTATCTAAATAGTCTTATTAAAATTATAAAATCTT